ATAACATACATCAGCAAGATATAAGGCCAGCACCTTATGTTGCTGTTACTTTGATAGGTAGGTACATTTAGCAGTACTACTGAAGCCAGAAGCAGATGTCAGTCTTTATGAGGCTGAGTGAAAGTAAATCCACATAGAAGTTCCCATCAAACTCATACTAGTAATTTAGATTCTTGTCACGTCCCAATTCATTCTTCAGGTGTCTGCTTTTGAAAGATCTGCTCACTAAAATCGTTGGTGACAGACTCATTTGCAGGCAATCCCAGCATGTAACTTTTCTAGTTCATTCACTTAACTAAAAAAAAACTGGAAATTACATGAAATCAGGTCACAATTTTCAATACGGTCTTCATGTTAAAGATTCAAAAAGATGTGCTACTATCGTTATCTGTATGAGACTATAAACTCATGGTGTTTTCTTTATTGAAAACATGGGTACTGTCCCAAATTCTCCCAAAGGTTATGTAGACTCCAAAATAGCTGTCATCTACATGTTAGAGTTCCTATTCCCTTCTGTATCTTCAAAATTTCACCATCCTTCCTTGCAGGAATTAGAGACATAGCAGCAATAATGTGCCACTGGTGCAAAGGTCCCATCTCTTCTTTTCTGGTTTCCCTTTTTTCATGGCACAAAGTTTCTGTCCGATCAGGAGCTGAAATTCTCTACCTTTCCACCTCTGACTTTATGTTCTGAGTTTTTTCTTTCACACAAGGACGGATGGTTCCTACCCATGTTTTCATGCTGGGTACTGAAGAGCTGTTTCCTTCAGAGTGAATGATTGTACGTTGGCATCCTGAGGTGAGCAGCTGGTTGAACATTATGAACTGGGCTGTAAAGGGCTGAAAATTACCTGGGAAAAGCTACAAATGCCATGGTGGTCTGGAACTGGGGAAGGACAGAGGCAGGCTTGTGTTAGGTTGCTCTGAGCACTCTTCTTTTTGGAAGACATCTTTAGGTGCTGATGAGGGTATCAAGGGTGTAAGGGATTTGGGTGTAGCACTATTGGAGAGCCTGTGTACTGGTAGCTCTCTGAATCTGTCAAATCTTAAATGAATCTATGAAAATGTGTAGTTGATCTTAGGTGTTGTCTCTTGGAGAGGAGGCCATGGGAGAAAACTTAAGAAATGTCTCAAAATGTTCTAGTTTGTTTCAAGTGTAGAAAGAAAAAGGGTCCATTTTCCATGCTGGTGTAGTGGTAAAAACATAGGTTAATACCCTTACAATGTGTAATGTAGCATTCCTGGAAAGCAAAAGATGCAGGCCAAAATGAAAGTGCAAATAAGATTTGGAAAAATCTGGTATGTTACATGAACACAGTTTGAAAAAGAATAAAATAGGACTTTTAAAAGTAAGCCCATACTCAATGCATTTCTCTGGATCTGAATTTGTATGCTTTCCCTGTAGTCTTAAAACACTTTGTTAACATAATTCTATTTTCTTCGCTGGGCAAACTGGATGCTTTGAGACTTTAATTTGGATTTAACTTAGATGGAATTTAACAGTAATATTGAATGAGAAAGAGAGGGCTAGCAAGCTTGTTGAAATAAAAATAATTGCTATGGGGTGTATTATATTTATTGTCCGTATATTTCAGAAGCAGTGTCATTCTGAAAACTGACCAGGATAATCAGAGAGATGAGGGAAGAGCTGGGCTTCAGCCCCTTCCTTGTTCCAGCCACCCGGTTCCAGAGGACTGCTCCAGCCCGTGGGCTGCTTCAGTTTCTCTCAGTAAGAAAAGTCAGAAAGCCCCTGCCTCGGTTTAGACAAATGCAAGCCTCTCACCTGAGCAGCTGTGCGCACAAGACCCCGGCAGCCTGGGACACAAAGCTTTTGCTCGGGCGAGGGTTCAGCCTGTGCAAGGTGACCTCTGCCAACCCCTGTCTCCTGGGCGTCCTCTCTGCAGCCACTCTTGTTCCCCAGGGAAAATAAAACCCTCTCTGTCTGCTGAAACCACCTCCTGTTCCCCGCAGAGGGCTTGGCATTCGCCTGCCGCTCCTCTCCATCTGCCAAGAGCCAAAGGGTAAATATCGGGCTGGGAAACAATCCCTTGCACTGCTCAGGAACTGGGCACAGTGCTGTGCAAACACTTGCGAGGCACGGCAAGGGGAGCAGAAGGGCTCCTAAACATCTGCCTTTGGCTTGCTCTATGAGGAAGTGACAGCGTAGAAAGGAGAAAAAGCCTAGGTCAGCCTGTGATTTTCCGTCCAATGGAGTGTGTAAATACAGATGGTGACGTGCCCTCAGTCAGATCCTGGCAAGTTCTGAGCCCCTCTGCACTCACAGAGCAGCAGTACAGCTCTGTAGGTGATTTGGCTTTTAACTGACGTGTTTATAAATACAAGAGTATATATTTATGCGACTTCATATTTATTTGTGATATGTATTTCATTTCATATTCACGTGTTCTCTGCACGAAAACTGTCTATTCTCTATTGTAGCTTCCAGTTAAAAAGCTGTTGTGGGTTAAATGAAACGTTGCATTCTATCCAATTCAGTATCAGAAGGCACTGGTGATATTAATGTAACGTATAGAGCAATAGCAGAAAATGATACGTTAATATTCACTATAATATTGACATCAAATATTACCAAATATTACCAAATCTTAAAAATAAACTGGATCGACTTGGTTTTAGCAGAGAAGACACTAAGTCCAACCCGTGAGTTGTTATGGATGGGCAGCTGGAGTTCTTGCTCATTGCTTTAGCTGCGTTTCCCTGTCCTGAGCTTGGCAGGAAGCATTTTCTGCCTGTGGCAGTAAGATATGGAAGTGACGGGATGAAACTAATGGGAAGTTTTGAGAAGTTTATACCAGGAACTTCTGAGTCAATGAGAAGTGGTCAGCAGACATCATGCACATCATGCATTCATCTCCGCCTCTTAAAGGGTCACTTGCTGTAACCCTTACTGCTTACTTAAACTCTGTGAGTCCATCATGGTCTTTTTCCCTTCAGTCCACCATCGCCATGACCAGTCACCTCTGAGCTGATAATTGCTGCTAGAATGCCCATTTAAACTTCTTATCCTCAGAAACTAGATTATATTGCCAGGCATAAACCACATGTAGCAAACCACGATGGGAAAACATCTTTAACAACCTTTTTGACTATTGAAAGAAATTAATAATGAGTGCAATGGGAATTAATGCATTAAACTGATGTTTAATGGCAAATGCTTCATTCCTGGCAGTGTCCAAGGCCAGGCTGGACAGAGCCTTGGGCAACACGGTCTAGTCTGAGGTGTCACTGCCCATGGCAGGGGGTTGGAACTGGATGACCTTAAGGTTTTTTCAACCCTAACCATTCTATTACTCTCTGATTTACCGTAACAAATATATACGCTGCAAAATCCTTTTGCAAAGCAGAAAAATGTGTCCTATTAGAGTATCAGGTAGAACTAATATGAAAGAAATAATATTGCCAACCATTTCCCATTTTGTTAAAATAATGTCTTCTCTTCAGACCTATGACTTCTGAACTTCTTTTTGCATATATATATACGTGTGTACCTCTACCTCCATCTTCCTATCTCTAAGTGAAAATACAGCACAACAGATACCACTTCAGAAACAACACAAGGAATTTAGTGTCTCCACTTTTAGATGCTCCCTTCTTAGAACAATTGATGAGACATAGTGAAGCACCTCACAGGTGGTAATTTAGGTGTCAGGCCACGCTTGCTTGCAGCTGTGCTGCAGGTACCTCCAGTCAAAGACTGCTTGGCTAAAGTAACTGATAAAGACACTCCATTTCCTTCACTCAGTCACATTTTAATCAGCATTCCCCATGCCAGTAAGTGGCACATCTCATAGATCATTTTACAAATATGTTGCCACAAAAAGTTCTTTTCTGGGTATAGAAAATGAAACTTTGGTCTCTGTAGAACTCATTGCTGCAGCTGCCAGGAGCAGCTGGTGCAGGATCTGTGCCACTTCCTCAGTGCTGGTTCTTTCATGGAGAAGTGGATGTGAATTCACTTCTCTTCTGGCCACCTAGAGGCATCTCACTTTTGAAAGAAAGAGATCCAGTTTGCTTCATCGCCTCTTGTATGGAGCATCTGTTCATCTTTGTGGCGTTACCTTCAACCTTTCCCAAATCTAACGTGTCTTCTTGAAGATAAGGAGCCAGGGGCTGCACAGTGGGTGAATCTTGAAGTTACTCAGTGGCATAACAGAACCTGGTAGCTCTTATTCAAGCCCTAGTAACTCCTACCAGCATGTTTGCATGGGTTGGGTTTCTGGGTAGTTTTTGGTTGGATTTGAAGCTTTTTCACTGCTGAGCCCTGATGTGATGTTCCTATTGTGCAAGCAGGCATAATCCCAAACGCTCTCTCCCATGCGTTCATGCTCAGCCTAGAATGCCTTGCTTTTAAATGGGCTTTGTAATTTGTTCCTATGTCAATCACTTTGGCTACTTTGTGAAGTGAATTTCACCTGGAGTTTCTTGCCTAACTGATGTGTCTCCTACAGTCCTTCAGCAGTTCTGCATAGTTGAGCCTAGTTTTGCCTGCTATCATCAGAATACTTCAGCTCATAGTGAATGACCTTCCTAAGCCAAACAGGACCCCACCAAGGTGGTGTGGGAATCCATGTGTGATGTCTCTTTATCAGAAAAAGCTGCCTTTTTCATTCTGCCCCTCATTTCTGTGGATTCACCTCTTAGCTATCCAGGTGTTCCTCCTCAGCCTCCTTATTTCTGATGTTTGGTGAGGCTTGTGAAGGGATTTCAGCATGACAAATTGACTGCGGCGGACCTGCGGCACCCGTCGGCTTGTTGTCACCTTCAAAGAAGTACGTGGAAGCGTACTTCAAACAAGTACATGGAAGCCTTCCTTCCAAGCTACGCAGACTCTTCCTTACTATGTGTTTGTTTAAGTGTTTACTAACTGTATCCTTTCTATTTCTACTTTAGGTAAGGCCGTTGAAGGGTAACTAATTTGAATAAATTAATAAATTGTCCTTACAACACTAAAACACGTTCATTAAGCTTGAACTCCTTGATCCATTGCAGATAGCATTTTAGAGATAGATAACAGCAAAGGAAGTAAGTAGAATCAGGGGAAAAAAGCCCACCAAGCAACTAATCAAGTGTAGTAAAGTAGCAGAAGGGGGGGTCTGTTCCTTGACATTCTCATCATCAATGGTTTCTTCTCGTTTCATATCCTTGAAAAACTCCGAGGTGTATTTTTCCTTGACTTTTCTTTGAGGGGTGATTCAGTATTGCCTCTGGCCCTGTAAGCAGATGAAGTACAAAGGGAATTCAGAAATCTAATAATGAAATAATTTTCATTAATATAAGCTACAAGGAGAGCTCACAAGTTGTTAATGATCTATTTTTACTGTATCAACCCAATACATACGTGCAAAGACAGCAAAATCCTGTGTTTACGCAAGTGCTGCTCCAACAGAAAGGAACTCCATAGGCCTGTGTCCAAAGCGCGCTCAGTAGGAATGTGATTGTCCCCATTTACAGCAGTAAAGGCTGATAAGCGTAGAAATGCCAGCTCTACAGAAAGAGGAGATGAGTCTTCTAGAACTTGGTTTTTGTAAGGGTCAAACGTGCACCCAGATTGTGCCACCTCTCACAAGGTTTTTAGGTGCATCATTTAACTCTGGCCTTTTAGGTGGCTTAACACACAGGGCAGGTGTTAAAGTGAGGAACCGGTTTTAATCCTCAGGCATTTAGGAATACAGATTTAGAGAGAACCGTTGACAAGAATTCCTAGTGCCTGAAGAGGGAGAACAGTTTCATGACAAGAAATTAAAACATGCCTTCTAAAACTATGTTTCAGCTGAAGCAGATCCAGTAAAGAAAACATCTCACCTGGCCAAGATAGCCCTCACAGTGAGCCCGACCCAGGAAGCAGAGGGTTCCAGGCACACTGGCCTGCCGGATCTCAGCGTACCTCTGCCAAGGCAGAACAGAGAAGTTCAGGCTAGGGGGGTCCTCGTGGGTCTGAAATCGATCTAGTGATCAAGGAGACTGGTGGCATGTCTGAGAGAACTAGGGAGAATTATTTTCCCACAGTGTTTTCATATGCGGGCATTTGGGTTTTTTCATGAATGATGTTACTAAAGGCACTTGCGATGCAATCTTTTTAATGAGCCTGATGATTTTTTTATTAGGTTTCCTGTTCTCTGTCTCGTCGTAGTTAGCAGATATTTCAGGAACTTAATTATCTTGGAAAGCTATTTCCTTTTTTTTTAACTCAAACCTGGCTGAAATTCCCATTGAGTGGTGAGGTGGAACTGGATGACGTGCAATGCTGCACAGAGGGTGTGATTGTACTGGGATTATTTGTGTATGAAACCATAGTGAAAGCACAAGAACCTGAAAGCTCCCCTCTGCTTACAGGAATGCATTGATTCAATTCATGTGAATAGCTGCTGATGGTACTTGTAAATTTAGCTGACCATGTCTTTTACTTTGTACTCACTTGGATTTTCCAGTTCCCACTTCTCACACAGGAAAATGCTCGGTATACAATTCTGACATAGGGAATAGCTTGTGGCATTTCAAACTTTGCCACATGCAGACCAAATTAGTGGAAACTGCTTGAATTCATGTCAATAGGATCAAGATTGTATCTTCAATTGATTCTTCATTGTCCAAATTGGTAATCATGCCCTGAATGTGCTATGGGATCTAATTCCTTCCTCTGAAGATGGGTGTAATTAAGATATAAACACAGAAAGAATTCTAAAGTACGGTCTGGAAGTGACTTATTTGCAGGGAATTATCTCATTCCCTTGGTAGGTCTAATACCTTACACTTGGTGTCCCGTGATGCCTTTGCAAGGGGTACATTATTCCACCCAAAGTAAATAAGTACCCAGGTTGGGAAGCACCAAGTGGCTTCCTCCAGTTGAGAGCAAGACTGTGTTTTGCAAGAGTGCTCACATAATTTCCACGTTTTGGCAGCAAGGTCCTCTTTGGTTTAATCTCACATTCTGGATAGCCTTGGGGGGGATGAACTTGGAATGAGTGCTGTCACACAGGCACTGGAAGCTTTTCCCCTCTGTCATTGCCAGGGCCTTACCTGTAGAAAAAAAAACAGTTATGGGAGGAAAATGCACATCATCTCTTGCTCCTGTGAAGTAAAGAGTATTTGTTCCCTTCTGTCAGCGTTATTCTTGTTACTCAGCTCCTATGATGCGCTGAGAACTTCGAGATAAAATTAAGTTACATTTTCGCTGTTGGCGTGCAAAAGCATGTGAAATTAATCTTATTCCTAAGTGAGAATACTCAGGTGTTTTCACAGTGCATTTGTGGCTGGCCAAATTTTACACCTAAACTGCATCCCTTGACTAAAATAGCCTAACATCACATGTCCACATATTGTTGACAAGTTTCTGCCATGATCATCTGCTCATAGTCTTTATTCTTTTCTGCAAATTCCATGGCCCTTCCTTTGAGGAAGTGCTATCATCAACCGGCTTACCAGGAGTAGAAGTACAATGAGGAGAAAGTTGTCATTTGGAAAAGAGGAGTTGTATGAACACGTTGAGAAAAAAGGTCCTCTTTGAATTCAAACGTTCCTTAAAATCTAGGCTGAGACATCTATTACGGCATAGGACTAAAGTAATTTTCTGATGGAAACATATTTTATCCTTGGAAGCAGCCACGGCATCCTACCAGATGCAAATACGAATGATGCTTGTAACTTCTGAATGACAGGATATTGAAGATGCCCATCTCTGGCAAAAAGTCACCATTAAAACAGCACAAGCCCTCTTGGGTATATGTATCCGTTGGTTATGTGAGTGTTAAGTAATCATTTTCTTACCTCCTGACCCCACCATGAAGACCAAGTAGAGAACCAAAGCAGCAGCAGCAGATCTGCCATCCATTGCTGTACGGAAGTCTGGTTGACCAGCGTCCGGCTCTGCTTGCTTTCACAGTAGGTTTTATCTGGGAAGTGTCTGACAACAGGAGTTGCAATAGCACCTGGTTAAAATAAGCACTTGGGAAGTTACTGTTTTCTAATCATATGCGTTTAGAGTAATCACAGGTGTTTGTGACAGAAGATAAACACATGTCCTAAGTGAAATCATTTGTATTGTTCACTCATTGGGATACTGGATAGTCTCATTTTTGTGAGGTGGAAAAAGGTGATCTCAAGGAAAGAAACTGGCCCAGATTGTGAGCCGCTAAAGTATGTTGCCCATATGAATTTCAGTACTAAAATTAAGAAAGCAATTGGGTTTTGAAAAGAAGGAGCCTGCCAAAGGAGAGCCTTGGTATTGTATGGAGAGGAGATGGTGGCCATAAACAGTGTCTGGCTTTTGCTCGGCAGGGAGTGGGACAATGTTTTGGGTACGTTGGCACACAGAATTAACTAGATCAGATCTGCTTTCATTGTTCAGTGTAAAAATAGTTTTCCAGAAGAACTGGGCATTTCATGGAGTCTGACTTCAGCTTCGAAGGGAGAGTATCAGCAAAGCAGAAACAGCATGGAAGATCAGGTAGTCATCGTCCAAAGAGCTGCAGTGCTTCTCTCAGCAGTCTCTGAGAGCACCAAAGCAGGGCTTGGGAGCATGAGGGCTCTTGTGTTCCTAAGAAAGGCATGCTGTGAGGGCACACAGGACCAAAATGCGATACTTCATCATTTCTAGCCAGCCTCTGAATCATGTCTCACCTATGGGAGAAGAGCCCTCCTGTGGCCATGATTCAGCTCCCACCTCTTCACTGAGATTTTGCTGGTGATAAAGGCAATACGCTTACCGCGCCTGTACAGCAGTAAAGTAGGTGCCAGTCCCTTAGGATGCACATATACTTTTATTGACACACATCTTCCCACCTCTCCCCATTCCTGGCTGATATTTCTGACATGCTTGCCTCCAAACTAAGTTTCTGAAAGACGCCAGCTTGTAAAAATCACTTGGAAAATAGGAAGGCCTAGACAGGTAAGACAAGTCTGGACAAACCCTCTCCCCCTGAGAACCTTTGTCTCCTTTCCATGCTGAGGATGAGGTCTATCAGGCTGTAGAGCAGTTCTGTGGGACAGTGGCAGCGATAGGGACAGGGGGCAAAGTGGGGTTTGAAGAGTTATCAGTTACCATCCTGCACAAGGTCTTGCTCAAACAAAAACTAGAGCCTCCCTTTTTACCTTGCACTGTTAGCAAACATGAGCTGTTTGTGCAGAACATGGAGTGGATCCTTAGTAAAAAAGGCTGAAGCAAAACAACTATCAAAACATTTGCTCAACTTTCCCATTTTCTCAAGTGTTCACTGCTTCTGCTCCAGTCTGTCCCTTGGAAGTCTCTGTGTCACAGGCAAATGTGTGTCCATACAATCAGGCTTCCTCCTGATGCAGTCCTCCCTCCTCACTGCAATTCAGGAGGATGCTCAGTGACCTCCATCATGTTATCAGATTTCCCTGCTTATTCAGGTGAAGGAAAAACCTTGTTCAGTGCCAGGTTCTCAGCTGATGAGCTGTCCGAGCACCTCCACCTCTATGGCCTTGGAGCTTCTGTGACTAACCATTAGTCATTCATTACTTTCTATCTGTGAATTTGATCACCCGGAGCCCTGAAAACACCAAGTCTGACAAGAAAAGAGGAAGAAAGTAGATAATTTTTATAATTCCTCCTACTGGAAACCATCTGAATACACCAGAGGCCGTAGTTTACTGTTGCAATAAACCACCCCTTGCCCTTTGGTGAACCCATCCCATGGTGGATGAAAGAAAATACATCCTTTTTTTCCGTTCTGTATTTTAATACAGAAACTAGTAACACACAATACTGAAGTGAAAACATCTCCACAAACATTTATTGGGCGCATATCAAATATGTTCTGCATGAATAAATAATGACATCCTTATGCAAAAGTAAAAATAAATATATAAATAAATAAATAATGCGCCTCCTTCTAACCAGAAGATGGCATTAAAATGTATCTTTAGACCTTCACAACAGTAATTCACAATAAACAGTATCTTGAATATGATGACACAAGCCCCAGTGTCTCAGAATTTTGATGTCCTAACTCTGCAGGCTCCCCCTTTCGGTCACTAGTCTGCTCTGAGCAAACAGGCTGAGTAGCAGTGACCTAAACTTGACGCTCCCCTATCGATGCTTTCCTGGAGAGAAGGAGTTAGGTGCTGTTCTTTTCCTAAACAGCAGAAAGGGAAGGTGTCATTTAGCGAAAGCTCTGCGCTGATCCAGCTGTATTTACCAAAACTTATTCCAGGATCTCTCCATATCCTTTCACAAGCCATTTCTTCTGCCTGCTTTTTCCGGTGTCAGTGATTCCTCTCCTACATAATGTGACCTCTGTAATATACTTAAAGTACTGCTGTGAACTAACTGCGAAACCTGACCTAGTTCAAGAGGTCCCTGCTTATAGCAGAGGGGTTGGAACAGGACGACCTTTGAAGGTCCCTTCCAACCCAAACCATTCTGTGATTTTGTGATTCTAAATCCAGGGAATCCAAATGCTCTTGGCGCTGTTAGAAGTGTGAATACAGGCAGCAGGAGGAGGTGAGCTGCCAGAAGCTGGATGGGCATCTCCATCTCTTTTTTGCCTTGCTGCAGGAGTGAGTTAGGACGTTTTGTCTTCTTTGTCTTAGGACACTGTCTCAGGTTTGGCGTTTGCCCTAGAAGAAAGAAAACGGAAAAGGAGACAATTAGAACTTGCCTGTGGAACAGGTATCACCCCCTGGAGTAAGATGAGGTCCACCACTAAGGGTTTGTGCTTCTGTGTCCAAGCCCCTTAAAAGCTGTAACTGAACCTAACGGCTGCTGGTACGTTGTGACCTTTCCACAAGTCCTCAGTGACTGGGGGCTTTCACGGCTTCTCTTGGGACCTTGTGGGCCCAGTTTCCCCCACTCATCTAAATGCTGTTCCTTGCTTTCTACCATAGTAAGCAAGAGAAAACCCCTCAGTTAATGCCTGGCTTTCCTGAGCACTCAAGCTGCAGATTTTCAATGCGCTTGCGCCTTACAAGAGGTGTAGCTACCATTCACATGGGGGTGGTATAAGGGATCCAACCTCCTGCTGATGATTAAAGAGCGAAACAATCCGAGTTTATCCCATTAGCGAACAGAAACATCAGTAGCTGCCTGAGGAGACTGAGTCTGTGAGAACTTTACACTGCACGTTCGCTGGCTCAACTAAAACTCAGCTTTTGGATAAGCCACGCTCACTGAGAACAGGCAACTCACTTGTCTAGGATTGCCTTGACGATGAGCTTCACCCAGGGAGCGGTGGGCTCCAGGCAGACTTCCCGGCCATCCGTCAGGGTAGCTCTGCAACAGAGAAAGGAGGAAGGGAAAAGGTCAGGTCTGTTTAGGGAAGTCCAAGGCAATTTCCCTTTTCCCTCCCAACATCATTCTAGGTGTACACTGACATTTTCTTTACTTCAAGCTGCATCAGCTGAGGCTGTAGCCTAACATAAAGGTTTTGGGGTTTTTTTTTAAAGGTTTCATATCTTCTCGTACCTCTTTGAATGCATTAAACCATTTCAGGACTCTCATGCTTTCCAAAACCGATTCTTTCCCCCTGTCCCCTTTCTCCGGCTTGTGATGGTACTTAACTACAAGGGTTAAATCTTTCCATCCTCATTCACAAACTGTACTGCCCAGTCCACAGGAATTTTGCTACAACACAATTTCTGGAATTGTGACTGGATAATATGATCTGTGTGCTAAGGGAGTTTTTTCACTGACGAGTAGAACTGTGATCACTTGATTTGAGCTGGCCATCACATTCATGTTTTGATCACTCAGCACGGCTCATGCATGAAATTAATTTCTCATCTGCTGGTGGAATTCAGAGTTTTAGAAAGTTCTTTGCTGTCTGATATGAGCTTAGGTTGCAATGTTTGCATGGGGTGCTTGAAAAGTGGAGCAGTCAAGACAAGACAGGCTTTCTATCACATAGTGTGCTGTCTGTCACAGCAACAGCGTTGCTGGTCTGCATTCTGAGCAGCTGCCGCAGGCTCACTCCATCTGTCAGTGAACTCTTACATCACCCTGAGTGCAAAATCGGTTTCCTTCTTGTTAAGTAACTGGGAGGATATTGCAAAAGCACTTACATGACTTCGACGTTCTTGCAGTGAGGTCCGCTGGGGATGAGGTTCACGTTGTGAATGAACTTGGGATGGATGAACTTGGAATGAGTGCCTACGCACTGGCACCGGAGCTCCATTGCTGAGCGTGGCAGGGCCTTACCTGCAAAACAAGAAGGAAAAATAAGGTGCACTCTTTTCCTCTTTCCACAGCAGAGAAACCTGGAATCACAGAACGGTTTGGGTTGGAAGGGACCTTAAGATCACCCAGTTCCAACCCCCGCCATGGGCAGGGACGCCTCACATTAGACCATGTCACCCAAGGCTCTGTCCAACCTGGCCTTGAACACTGCCAGGGAACGTTCACCACTTCTTTGGGCAGCCTCTGTCAGGGCGTGTTCTTTTGCTTGCAGTATTAGAGGAGTTTCTTGCTGCACAGCACAGTACCTCTGCCATCAGCATTTGCGCTTGCAATGAGGAGAGCTTTAGAAAGGATTTCTGTACCTTCTGTTCCCACTGCTGACATGAAGAGAAGGATCAGGACCACAGCCACAGCCTTGCCTGTCATGATGCAAGAGTGTTTCTCCCTCGTGTTCCACAGGCCTGGTGCTGTGATGAGGTGAGCCCCAAAGGTGGCCAGTGCTGGTGTCTTGGGACCTGCTGGGTTTTATACTGCCTCGGCCTCCCTGGCACACATGGGTCGTGCCAATGGAAACTCCAAACCTGTAACATGCTGCTGTGCCATGAGTCACGGGTGAGTGGGCAAGCCCCTTGCCCCAGATGACCATGAAACTGCTTTTCGTTATCGGAAAACACTTCCTTAATCAATGAAATAAATAGAAAAACACAGACTCTGTACACAGTTGCCCTGGACTTAGCTCTCTGGAATC